TGCAACAGTTAAGAAAACAAAGGTTTTCCCAACACACACACACACACACACACACACACACACACACACACCCAGTATGTGAGGCGACAGGTATGTTAATTAGTTTTATTTGATCATTTTCAATGTAATATATCAAACAAATTTTATAGTCATAAATATATACATTTTTATTTGGCAATAATGCATTCACAAGGTAGGGGAAACAAAGAAAAGAAAAAATAATTTTGAAAAGGTGAAATTTGCCAATAGTAAGTGAACTGGAACTAAAGCCCAAGACAGCCCCTACTAGAAGGCAAATTGAGTAGCTCAGAATGTCCCTTTCATAAGAGTGAAGATTAAAACCTTTGGCACAACCAAGAATTTAACTGTGCTCCTTTCCACAGATATCAGTTAGGACATGAACTTGGACAGGAATGTGTAAAACTTCCCTGCAAGTCCTTGCACATTCTTCCCAAGTCTCTACTAAACTGTTTGCTCCAAGACAGAGCATGTGCCTCATCACTGTTGTCCGGCAAAGAAGGGGACAAGACAGGACAGAATCAGGAGCTATACTGAGAACTGAGGTGACACCTTCAGACAGCCTAACTATCAATGAGCCAAGGAGGAAGAAAGACAGTACTCTCACTTATAAAAACAAATCTCTATTTCTAAACCTAAGTGTCAAATTATTATTTTTAGCTAAACCATCTGGCATTATTGGTAACTGACAAAAATAGTCCTGGCCACCAATGTTAGTCCTCAGTGTTTGCAGGATGAATTTAGAGGTGGAAATCTGGTTGGAAGAGGAGGCACAGGAACTTGTCTTGGAGAATGCTCTTGAGTAGCAAGCTTGCTTTTGGGGATCTATAGATATGTTTAGTTGGTATGTGAATCCAAGCACTGATAAAGACTAAGTAGGATCCAAAAGCTACTCAAGTTGCTGTTGTCATTGGGGACCACCAATCTCCAAGCAATTGTACATAACAGTTTATAACTGGGTTCAATCAAAACTCCAGATTCTTATTTCTCTGGATCATTTTCTCTTCTGGAGTGGTAGACAGAATTTCAGGATTGTAGGAGCTGCACCGCATAATGTAATAATGCTTATCATTGTCATATTTGGAACAAGGAGCCTGGAGGAGACTGAGACATACATACTTTCACCACTTTTTGGAGAATACCTACTATTTATAAATCTTACTTATCTTTGGAAATGGAAAAGTAGAATTGAACTTTAAAGACGATTGTCATTTTGAACTAGAAAGAACTACCTGAATGAAAATATTACACAAATATTAAACAAGCGTGTACTCTTTGCCCCAGGGGTGGCTTGTATATATTTGCCTCCATTTATTAGCAGAGAACCAGAAAAGCCTTGTGGGGAAAGTAGAATTCAGTATCTCTATGCTGTCTTCTGATGATCAACTTTGTTAGAACATGTCTGAGAAACACTCTGGTTTTGAGAGTAAGAATCAAGAAAGTTCAACAGAAGCCACTGAGAGGCAACATCACAAGGAAGAGGAAATGTGGGTTGCTAATTATCTTCATCACTTCCTTGTTTCTGAGACAAAATACCCAACATTGACAACTTAAAGTCCACAGTTACTCCATGGTCAGCTAATCTTGTTGGAAGTTTCTGGCAGAGGAAAGTGGCTCACATTATGGTAGCTAGAAAGCAGAAAAAGAAGAGAAGAACTCAGGAGGGATACATGCCCCAGAGACCCACATCTAACTAGTCCCCACATCCTAACAGCAAATCAGCAGTAGCATCTCCATAATTCAATCAACTGCCCAAAATCCTACCTCTGAGTCCCTGATACTCTTGGAGGACATTCTTACCTATACCATAACAATGATGAACATTTACAACCTCACTGAGGTTAGAAAATTCAGAAAGTCTTTCCTCAGCGTGAGATCCTATCTTCCTGGAAAGTTACAGAAAGCAGAACTAATCAGAGCTGACACTTAACCTACGGTCAACAAGCTTTGGGACCCTTAGGAATAGTCAGTTAGAGAAAAGAATCCTCCTAAAATTGACTTCTTTGAAAGCATTGCTTATCACCACAAGTTGGATCTTGTTTGGTAAAAAGGCTGATGATCATATTTCAGGGCCCCAGACTCCAAAAACCCTCCAACTGTGAACCAGGGGAACGAGAAAGGTTTACCCAGAGCTATCACTTGTCACGTGTCAATCAATAGCACAAAGGAGTGATCATTCGGTGGTACAGAGAATCCCACAGAGAAGCTGTGAGAAGCTAGATACTGCTAATTTGGAGGAACCATGTGCTTCTGAGCAAATAAAGCCCTCCAGAACTGAGAGGTACAGGATATCAGCAAGCACATACACACATTCTCCGATTGGATTTCTAGCCCCATTTGGAGACTTTTAGCCTCAAGTGCTAAAGAGTTCACATATTTGTACTTACTGTGACCTTCCTACTACACAAAATGTTACAAGGAACCAGGAATAAATTTTGAACTGAAAAATATCATTTAATCTCTTTCACAATCTAAGACATTGACATATGTTACACACACAGCTGGGTATTTAAAATGTTCTGGGTTTCAGGTTATAGAGAAGAACCCAACATTTAAACCTTAGCAGAGTGTAGAGACTGTGCTCCTCAGTGGCAGAAAGGGTTGTTAAGATATTGAGAGCTCTGATCATGGGTGTGCCCCTGAAATGCAAAATATACAAGAATATAATGGACTTTTTGTCTTATGTCACTGACTTTGGGAATCACCAATTCTCAAATTATTTTTTACTCCTTAAATGACCTGGAGTTTGCAGGAAACACAAATAAGTAACACAGTCCCATAAGCATTATTTAATATCCAACTATATTTCATTTCTTTCTCTGAAAACCAAAAGGAATCTAAAAAATGAGCAATATTATTACAAAGGGAAAATTAATACTCCTGTAATCTATTGATTGATAAGTAAACTCGTCCCACACTTGAGTATTTTCGTTGTAATAATTTATGCAGAATAAACTTCAAAACCAGAAATTACATGGCTTACAATCTAACATTATTGTTGAAATTCATCATCTTTGGCACAAAGGACAGCTCTGGAATAGCACACAGCTGTGTTAAGAACACCAACAAATGAATATACTATGCAGTGGATTTCTAGCCCCAACTGCAAAAGGATCAACATACTTGTACCTGCTATGTCCTTCCTACTGTGCCAAGTGATACAAGTAATCAGAAATAAATTGACCTTTAAAATTTATAATTTCATCTCCTTCAGGAATCAAAACTTTGATGCATGTTACAGTTAGCAGATCAAATGAAGACCCATCAATCAATACATCCTCTCTATTAAAAAATATAAAAACTGGGGCTGGGGATTTAGCTCAGCGGCATAAGCGTCTGCCTTGCAAGCAGACAGTCGTGAGTTTAGTCCCCGGTACCGATAAAAAGGAAAAAGACAAAAAAAAATAAAAATAAAAATAAAAACAATATAAAAGGAATAGCTCATGGCCACAGACACAGGCAAAAAAATAAAATGGTCTTTCTGTGAGAGTAACTTTCCAGATATGCACTGAAGTTGATGAGCCTGGCTAATGGTGAAAGACTGAACTATAAGAACACAAAATGTGCAGAGATTGGTTCTACAGTGAGAAGACATAAACCAAGAAACCCATTAAGGTCCCCTCCTCCAGTCTCTTTGAGAGATTTGCAGATTTGTAGGATGTGCCTCTTTCTGTGAGTGAGTTCTATTATAACCAAAACTTCACCATATAATAACGCAACACTTTCTAGAAATAAGAAAAGTATTTGCCTGAATTGTTATCTCACTAATTTAGCCATGACTTTCTTTAAAAAACTGAACCCCTATTCATCAATCCTTTTCTGAATTCATTTATAATTTAGTCTTTGCTAAGAATCTTTGCACTATGAAATGGCTTTTACCTAGTGATTACATACATCACGTAAAAAAAAAAAAGAGAGAACACAGGTTTTCAAAGGTATTCCACAGAATACCACAGACTTCAAATATTTTCTGAAGTAAGGATTGCATATTCAGCTAGCCATGTAGAAAGTATAAAAATCTATACTGAAAAAATAAAGTTAAGGCAAAGGAAGAAAGGAAATGCAGAAGACAAACTGGAAAATGATTAGAGCTTAAATTCTGACTGATACTAGTAGTACCATATGTTTCGAAGACCATTCAGGAAAATTATCTATCTTTTCTAGTCAGGTGCATGCCAAGATTGATTTCTATTTAATATGAGTGAAAAAGTAAGAGAGAAGTTATCATGAAAACTGAGTAGAAGCCAGGTACAGTGGTACATAACTGCATTCATTCCCAGCTCTGTGTGAGGCTAAGGCAGGAGGAGCATGCATCTGAGTCCCACTGGGGCAACTTAGAGAGGCTCTGTTTTAAAATAGAAAAAGGGCTGGGGCTCAGTGCAAAGGCTCTGGGCTCAATCCCCAACAGCACAGGAAAAAAGAGAAAAAGAAAATAGCATACAATAAAATACAAGAGGTTTGTGCAGAGAAATACAAGACCAAACAAGAACAAAGTAGATGGCCATCTGCAAAACAACACCAGCAGACTTTCACTGCCTTCCTGTCAGCAGTAGCTCTTGCATCCCTCAAAACCAGAAAATTTTCCCAGCAAAAAGACTCCAAGGACATAGGACTGGCGCTATCCCACCACATGCTTCTTCTCTGCGAACTTATATGAATGCATCAATCTTATGGGACGCAAAAAATCTCATTAATCTGATTCAAATTGCTAACAGCAGTAAGTTCTTTGTCTTAGCATTGAAATGCCAATAGCAATCAAATACTAACAGCAATTTAACTACCGATGTCGTCTTCTTCACTGCATTCAGGAAATGCAGCCAGAAGTCCAACTAGCATTGACTCCAACACTCTTAATCAATTCTAATTTACTCAGTATAAAGAAATGAAGTAATGTGCTGGCTATGCTGACTAAGCATCCAAGATGGTTAAAACAACCCTTCAAACACAGTTGGAGAAACAAACTGAGTTTTCATCCACCAAACCTGAAGGATGTCTTCACCAAGGCTTCTGGGCTATCCAGTTGTGGCAATTCATCTGCTAGGATTTCTTCTGGAGGTCGAGGGTCTTGGACAATTGTAGGTCGTGGCTTCTCTTTGACATTCCCTGTGAGCCCATCGATGAAGGAGTTCCACAGACAGTTCTGAGACTTAGACCCTAAGGATGAGGGGGGGAAAAAGATGTACACATCAATCAGCAATCTATGTCATGTTGTGCCTTCCTACTTAGGATGTTCCAATGCAGAGCCGGGACATTTCTACATTTTTCACCATCTCCATTAACATCAGAGGGCTTTGGAAGATACTAGTCAGCAATTTATGGGGTAATCATAAATTTGTGTTTGCATATGTAGAAAATAATTGGCACTGAGTATCTGTACTTACACCTAAACCTAACGGAAGCATCCTACTCCACTGCAGAGGCAACCAGCCTAAACTCCTATAGAGCTTTGGGTATCCACTGAGATGTTTATTCAGCAATTGGACAGAAATTGTACACAAAGCACAATCATTATTTAATTACACTAGAGATGTTCAAACACAAGTTTCCTACAATCTCACCTTGCCTGAATCCCAAACTTCAAGATTTCTAGGAAGATATTCACTCCACATACATCTAAAAAAGATGTTAGGGAAAAGTCCAAAGAAACCTGAACAACATACAGTCTCAGCTATATGTAATAATGGTGTATTAATATGGGCTAATTAATTGTAAGAAATATTTCATAGTTATGTAAATAGTTAATAACACAGAAAACCAAATGTGGGGTATTTTTTGAATTATCTTACAATTTTTCTGTAATTTTTTGTATTATCTTACAATTTTTCTGTAAATCTAAAGTGTTTCCAGGTGAAAAGTTGTTATAAAAATAAAATCAAATAAATACAATCAATAAGTATATTTTTAAAGCCTGTGAGGAGAAAAAAAATTGTAACTGATCTAAGAGCACTATTATTACCCATTACCGTTGATTCATTGGCAGACCCATGCGGCAATGTTCAGCAAGGTCGGTGGCTTTTCCTATCATCTATGCCAAGAGGATGCTTCATTCACATGAAGGCTTTTTATGGGACATAAATGCTTTACAGGGTGGAATAAGAAGCAACACTGGCTCATGCATGTCAGGCACATGATAGGCAAGTGAAGAACAGTTTTGTGTGCACATGGAGACACCTCTTGAAGACCGAGGCCAGCCACCTGCAGGCCACCACAGAAGAAATCACCTCAGCTCTGCCACTAAGATCAAAGAACCTCACACACACACAGAGGAACAACTCACAAGCTTCCCCAAGCATTCATCATGGAAACCCATAGATCTGCAAGTGATTCTTTCAATGACCATGCCATGAGCTGCTATGACTCACCCGGGCCTGTCCATCTACATACTTATGTAAACCATGAGCACATTAGAGGCAGGAAATAAATGCCTCAAACCCCTGAAATTCATGACAGCTTTTTAAAAAGTCTGAAATATATAACTCATCATGATCTGGTCTTATTAATGAAGTTTTGGTTCTGTGTTAGTGAAGAACTCTTGTTAATGTGTGTCTTGGTCTAGGAAGAACTAGAACAGTAGCCTCTTTTCTTAAAGTTGGTCTCTATAAAAGCTTTTCGATAATCTTTCGGTACATTTCCCTTGTTCCCTTCATTTTTCATTCTATAAACACATACTGAGTTCCCTCAATGTGCCAGGTTCCTTTCTAGGCCGTACAATAGAAACGTGAGTGAGAAGTAGGGAATGTAAAAAGAGTTGAGAATAAATATTGAGTGCTATTTATCATTCCTAATATAGTCTTTATTTAAATTTGTTGGTGCATCTTTGGACCTCTGACCTACAAGTAGTCACAAAAAACTAGGCAATACACCATAACTAAGAGACAAGTGCCCTGGGAGCCAGAGCAGGGTTCCCCGAGGAGGGTTCAAAGCCACATGAGAACACAACACATGATGTGGATCTAAAGCAGGGATGGTGCATCACCACCTTCAGCAGGTGGGGAGGATCAGGAAGGCTGGTCAATGTGAAGGGCAACGTGCAAGGGCCCCGAGGCACAACGAAGCAAAGAGAGGTCAGCGTGCAGAGCGCAGGGCCAGCTGTGAAGTACCTTGAGTAAAATACTGATCATTTCTCCTATAGGCTAAAAAGACTAAAAGATGTTTAATAAAGTTAGTAGCAACATCTGTGTGTCAGAACAGAGACAGATGTGGTGCAGAGGAGGGATCCTCTCAGGAATAAGAAATTACATGAAAGGCTCTGAGAATATACAGGAAGTCAGGCACATTATGTCAGGGTGAAATAACAAAATCTTAAATACATATATAACTATCTTTTTGGCTCCGTTCCTGGATTTGAACCCAGGGCCTTTGCACTTGGTTACATCTCCAGCCCTTTTTATTTGATTTTTTGTATGTGTGTGGTACATGACGTTCCCATGCCTTGTGGGGAGTTGCTGCATGTAAGAAGCACATCTAATTTTTCAGAATATGTAGATATGATTGGTAAACACAAATTCATTTAAAAACACTCCTGGAGTCATAATAGTTTTTTCACCATTTCCTCAATCAGTCATCAGAGGGATCATAGACCCACGCTGCTTCTTCCCCAGAGACAAGTCAACAGGCCATGAAACCTCCAAAAGTAGTGCCAGGAACCACCATGACACAATGGCAAGTTTGTGGTATAAGCTGTAAGTAGGTTGTACTTAACATGCATTCGCAGACCCCCTTTTACTTGTCTTCCTCTTCTAAAGAGGCCAGGAAGCAATATACCCAATTTCCTACCCCCACTTGCTGCTGCAGCTGACTTTGTGTTATAACTCCGGCCCAATGAAATGTAAGCAGAAACTCCTGCGGCTGGTTTCTCTCTAATAAAAAAATGTAAATACTTAATAGGAGGGAAGCAATTTTGCCCCTTTACACTTTGTCTTTTTCCCCCTTTTTATTCATGAAATGAGGATGTGGTGCTACAGCTGCCTGTATCATGTGTACATATAAAACGGGCAGAGAGGACGTAGGTCTCTGTTGGCATACTGAACAGCTTCCCTGGAATCCCCCACTTCCAAACGCCTTGATGTGAGACAGATACACACCAGGTCTTTGGTTGTTTGAGGCTGAATGTATTTCTCTAAAAAATAATATATAAGTATACTTATATGTAATTATAATTATGTATCATACTTACATTTTTTTCTTCTGTTAAAATTACTAATTTGTTAAATGAGAACAGCTAAAACAACAAAATTCTTACAACCTCTTTTGGCATGTCTTTTTTTTCTGGGAAGCTGAAGAAATGGAAATGGCTGAGACTTCCCTAAACCTGAGAAAGCTTAGGAAACAATTATTCCACTGGGGTTATTTATTATTTCTCTTTTGTTTTTTGTTTTTTAGATTACAAAAAGGAGAAGGGTGTTTGTTTAAAAAAATATTTGGAATTCAGTGTCATGGTTTAGGTTAAAAAATAGCTGCCAAAGCCTCACGTGTTTAGAAGGAGACTGGTTAATGGGGTAGCTGGGTCGCTGTGTGGGGGTGGACAGGGCTCATTGGGAGTGTGGCCTGGAAGGGCTTATCTCCCCTGACCTCTCCTTTACTCTGCTTCCTCCGCCCAGACCCTTCTGCCACATTTTACTGCCTGACAGCCCACCATGCAAGGACCAAAACATCTAAAACATAAGCCAGAATAGATCTCTCCTCCTTTAAATTGTAGCAAGTTGAATATTTTGTCCCAGCAACAGAGAAAGTAAGACAATCAATAGACATGTAGATGATGACTATGTAAGTGAAACGAGAATACCATATTTTCGTAAACACTTCTATCATCACCAAGAGAAAAATTTCCACAGCATGATGGAGTGAAAAAAAATTCTCTAACTGAATTCAAATAAAAAAGAATTTAAAATTTAAAAGAGAAAAATATCAAAGCCATCTCCGTTCCAGGGTGTTCCAGCCATTATCCCACTTGCCATACACTATAATTAAGTAGAACTCGGGATCCATCTGTGAGGGTTCAATTGTAAGAGCTCATTGAAGAAGCAGTCTCACCTATAACCTGGCCCAAAAGGCATTAACCCCCGTGAGGGCCAGGAAACTGCTAGAATATGGCCATTATTAGGAAAGTTTTTATTTCTGTTTTAATTTGTTTTAGAAAGCAAATGATGATAGCCTGTTTCACATGAGTAACACAGGACATAATGAGAAGACTTCTGAATGGGCTTACATCTGGAGCATAAGACCCTTCGTTAAAACTATCACTAATAAAAGGAGACTTATGTTTGTGTTCTCATTGTTCTGGAATGATGGTTAGCACAGCAGAGCTCTCTGTTGAATACTTCAATACACACAGAAACTTTTATTACATCATTCCAGTACTCAAGAAGCTTTAGAGAGGCAAAAAAACACGAGGCAACCACTGGCAGATTCAGACCAGAGCACTCCTATCCCCTTCACAAACACTGTAAAGAAAAATGATTCAAAGACTTTGAAATGGGCAAAAAGTTTTCAGTGAGTGTCCTATCTAGCTCAGCCACCTGGGCTGTCTTCACTTTTCATTACCTTGAAACTATTTTACTCTAATGTAAATTGGAGAAAACTGCTACTAATACAAATGGTTCTCACCTATAGAAATGTAACCTGTGTGTCATGGAATGCAATTAATTATCCCCCCATAGATACTAGTAAGTCTAGACAGTTTTAGATCTAGTAAGAAAATTCATTTTAGCATTGCTGGTGGTCTTATGTATTTGTCTGCCCTTTGGGTTTTCCTCCCAACAAGTTGTAATATCTTACTGGTTTCTTTCCTGTGGTACTGGGGATTGAACTCAGGGTGTCGGCAATGTGCTACATTCTCAGCACCCCAGTCCCTATTTTTTGGAGACACACTCTCCCTGAATTCACCAGGTGGAATGACAACTTGTGATTCTCTTGCCTCAACCTCCTAAAGTACTAGAAGTATAGGCATCTGCCACTACACGTGGCTTCTTACTGGTTTCATCATCAATTAATGAGTTAAATGAGATCTCTGATACATGCTCACTTAATATTTGTGTCTATTTTTAAAAATTATCTTCAGTAACACCTAAATCTACATGCTTCCCATAACCAATATTTCATTGCACACTCCTATACTGACCTAGCTACATCTAGTGCTCACTTGAATGAGCCAT